TTAAAATCAAATTGTCGTGGTAGTTTCGTAGGAGTTAGAAGATTGCAGTGATCGTTTATTTAAGAAATAGATCGGTAGGAGTTAGAAAATTGCAATGATCGTTTGTTTAGAAAATAGATTAGTAAGAGTCGATAGAAGATTGCGAAGATCATTTATTTATAAAATAGATTAACAGGAGTTAGAAGATTGCAATGATCGTTTGCTTAGAAAATAGATTAGTAAGAGTTGATGGAAGATTGCAAAGATCATTTATTTATAAAATAGATTAGTAAGAGTCGATAGAAGATTGCGAAGATCATTTATTTATAAAATAGATTAATAGGAGTTGGTGGAAGATTGCAATGATCGTTTGTTTAGAAAATAGATTAATAGGTGTTAAGAGAAGATTGCGAAGATCATTTATTTATAAAATAGATTGATAGAAGTAGGTGAAAGATTGCAATGGTTTATCTAGAAAATAGATTAATAGGAGTTGGTGAAAGATTGCAATGATCGCTCATTTAGAAAATAGATAAATAGAAGTTAATAGAAGATTGCGATGATCGTTGATGTAGCAAATAGATTAATAGAACTTAATAGTAAATTGCAGAGACCGTTTACCTAGAAAACAGTTCAGTGAAAGTTCGAAAATTATAATCATCACTTTCCTAAATAGTTTAGTAAAAGTTAGTACAAGATCGCAATGATTTACCTGTGTCTTCTATTTTCGTTTTCTAAAACAATCTCTTCACATAAAATTAACATCACTATTATCACGTTTTACTCGCAAATCGCGACAGTAGAAAACTGTACTCACTAGTAACACAAAAATTAACGAAATCAAGTACCTACTTAAATTCGCCTCTACTAATTAATCTCTCTGTTCAACGTTATCCCTATCAATTACACTGTGGAACAAATTTTAACCTATTCTGCTTTTTACAATAACCACTAGATAATTCTTATAGAGTTCCTTACCCTAAATACCAATTCGAAAACCAAATTGCTGGATCACGTCCAGTTTCCGAAAAATCTAGATTCTTGTAAAAACGGTCGAATTTTTCAGAAAACCAAGTGTTACGTGAAAACTAAAAACGATAGGCAGTTAAAATTTATCGCAGAAAATGAAGGAGACTTGCCCGAACACGTAGCTATAAACATTTTGAATGGTGGTTATTATAAAAAACAAAATCGGTTAAAATTTGTTCCACAGTGTTGTCTTTCCAACTATTTTCCCCATCAATTATCTTCCTATTTTCCCCGTCAATTATCTTTCCAACTATTTTCTCCATCAATTATCTTCCTATTTTCCCCGTCAATTATCTTCCTAACTATTTTCCCTCTTAATTATTTTCTCAATTATATTCCCTAACAAACAACAATCCTCTCTTTCCATTCTTCCCATCAAAAAATTCACCCTCTCTCTCCATCACTCTTCCTCCGAGCACCAAATAAATCTAAACACCGTTTCTTCCAAAATCCCATAGCTCCACCGGGCAGCTCCTTGTCCGAACGATCGGACCTCTCCAACTCGGCGTTTGAATATTCATGCGGCAAAGCCTGCCGACGCGTTCCGGATTTCTATTCATGAAAATTCTAAAACGCTTCGCGCGGCGTTTCGCCGGTTTCACGCGCGCCCGGGCTTCCTCCGCGAGAAAGCGACTTCCTAATTATTCCGTCGCGCGCTCCGCGCCCGTGGATCATCCGACGATCGTCGAACGAAGACTCCGTCGCCGACCGCTTTGCAACTTGTTACCGAATCCTTCGTTCGTTCGCAGCTCGTAGATTCGATTACCGGCGACGCTCGAGACGCGGCTTTAATTAGTCCTTAAATCGAAGTTCGGGATTCTTGAAAGGAACTCGAGTAATAAACCGTCTAACGAATTATCCTCGCTGAAAGTTGCTCCCCTTTGACGATCTGCGATTTCTTTCGGTTGCAACCAACGGAATGGCTAACCGAGATGTTTACAAGCTGCAATTGCTGGCTGAGGAGCTTTTAGGTTCCTGTTCTTTGAGGAAGTTTCGCATTCGGTGGAATTATTTCTTTGTAGAAGTGATAGAATGTGGAATGTGAAACGATTGTGAAAATTATTCACTTGTTCGATCAAGATGATTATGTGGACCTCTGTCTTTAACACGTTGACTGCCACGAGAATTTCGAACGTTTCGTGTAACAATACATATTCTTTCGTAACAAAGGCAAATGGTGAGAAATAATTATTAATGACTTGGTATCACAGAACACGTGTTACACTATCATCTAGCTGTTTGTATTATATTATATTATATTATATTATATTATATTATATTATATTATGTACATTTAACATTATAAATGGTACGATATTGGAACCTACAGAGTTCAAAGGATTAAATATTTCCAGTGAGAAACTACCGAGTGCAAAGGGTTAACCATTCGACCGCGCGGAATTAACGAGATTCATCGCGTTTTAACGGTGAAATCGAAGGGTCGCCGGTAAACCAGCGAAAATTGCCGGATCGGAACGGCGGGCGCGGCGACATCGCAGGAAAATTAGAGACGGCACGGTTGTTTGCGGGACAATTCGGGAAACTCGATTCGCCGGCCGACAAGGGACGCATAATTTATCGCGGCCGTTGCGAAGGAAACGGGTCGACGGCCGCGTTTTCACCGAGCCAGTAGATTTCACGTGTAACCAGCCGTTGATCGATCGTCGCCCGCGAATTACAGGGCGCCCGCGGACGAGACACGCGGCGAAAATACGATCGGGGATCGTTTAATCGCGGAAGAGGAGGACGGCCGTGAACGACGCCGCGCGAAGAGGGATGGGCTTTACGGAGGATTCATGGTATTTCCCGGGCCAGTATTAGCCGCGATCATCTGATTTTAGAGAGAGGGAACCGTTCGCGCCGGATAGGATCGTATTCGCGATCGCGATAATGGGCTCGCGGGGAATTTCGTTCGGTATTTTCGGAATAGACGGCTTCCCGACGCGTTTTAATAGGTTGAATGCCGTGGGGGTCACCGGTGACCCCCAACCAAATTACTATAGTTCACTCAATTAAACCATTTTTATTTGAAAACATTTCTATGTTATAAATAATGCTGACTAATGTGGTCACATTCGGCTAGATGAACCTGCAAGAATAACAATGTAACTCGATCAAATGATTTAATATTATATTTTTTCTATTTCGAGTATTCTGTACCATGAAATCGTTCGAAATCCAACGTGTTAATACGTTAAATGCGATGGGGGTCACCGGTGACCCCCAACCAAATCGAATTACTATAGTTCATTTAACCACTTGCGCTGAAAATGAATTCAATGAAGAATTTTCTTTTTACCTATTTCACACTGATATGTACACAAATTTTGTTAATCATTCTGTGTTTAGACTCTATTTAGTGGTTCACCGCTAGTCGGATTGCGGCCAGTAATTTGCTGTAATAAATAAACCTTTCAAATTTGTAAGCTTGATCGCGCAAACAGGTATAGGACAATAGAGTTTCAGTTTATTGAAACTAAAGTAGAAGCGTTTTCAAATAAACGTTTAATTAAGTGAACTATAGTAATTCGATCTGGTTGGGGTCACCGGTGACCCGTGGCATTCAACGTGTTAACACTGGAACTACCGAGCAATTGAGTTTTTGATATTTCTCTACAGCTGTTGAGACTTTAATTGATTTATAATTTAGTTTGCTGACTTAGTATCGTGTCAAGCTTCACGATGACGTGTATACTCGTCAAACGCAGTTAACCGGTTAAGTGGACTCAAGTCACTCCAAAAATAAACGGTTCAATTAACGCTATCATAAACACTACGATATAATTCAATGCAAAAGTTTCCAAAGCGAACAGATAAAAAATCTCTACATTACTCACGAGTGAGTGCAACTGGCATGTTCACTGGTTTTACCTAATTAGCAGATCAACCCTTTGACTGTGTGCAGCGGCAACGAAATCGGTTTGTACGCCGCGAACGCGTGAATGTGTTTGTGGGATACTCTGTGCCACAAAGACCGTCTTGCTCCTCTACAACCCCCAAACATGGAAAACTTTCAGATACCACACAGGAACAGAGTTTACAAACAAAAAATTCATCGAATCCGATGGAAGTTCCCGAGATGAGTTTCATTTCATAATGTGTGCTCAACACTTTTCACTTAACAACGTATTGCCGTTTGTTCTGTTTATCTTCCCCTTTACTGTTTAGCAAGTCTCGAAGTGGATTATTTGTAATTCATCGAACACGGTTTTTAACCAAACTAATCGAATGGGCTTAATCGAAGATAATGAAAGAGTTTGTAGTTATAGTTTCTTTTAAGGCTTCAAACAGAAATTGACAAATATAAATATTGGCCGATTTTTGTAAATTCAAATTAACCCCTTAACGCACAGTTTTTTTTTTAAAAACCGGCCAAAAAAATTAATTTTGATATACTGCGCTTTTGTTCCATGGAAAAAGGCTATATTTTATTCTTGAATCAATAAAACGATTTTTTTCTTTGCTTTCACACTGTTATTTTCACAGTTTGGCCTGTTTGGCGCGCTCGAATTAACTGGAGCGTACGAGTTAAGGGGTTAAATATATCCTTTTGCTATCAATTATTATAATTCAAAGCAAACGTAGGCATAGAATGTACCTAAAATTTGTCTCTCTCTTCAACAATTATTAATGGCAAAGTAGTTGCGTCGATCACAGTTGAGAAATAAATCGTAGAGCAAGGGGTTGATGGAGAAAGAAGTTAGCTCGCGTTTTTAACACGTTCACGCCGTGTAATTCACATTCTTCCCCACCCGACGGCTGAATTCCCGAAATTGAAAATATTGAAATTAATCAGTAAGTAAATTAATTTTCAAGTATATGGAAATTTGTTCTAACTACCACACCATTCGACGAACCACATATTTGATGGTACACGCCTAATATGATATCTGTCTGTGAGCCGTCGGCGGCACACGCCAGTGTGAACGGGTTAATCCGACTGAACCGAATTTCCCCGATTTCCACTAATCGACGTTCATTTTCCCGCGCAGTACGTGTTCGTGGTGATGCTGGTGTTCGTGCTGGAGGCGGGAGTCGGCGCGCTGGCGCGGCTCTACGAGGAACAGGTCGGCCCCGAATTGAAGACGAATCTTAATCGCACCTTCCTCGAGAACTACTCCGTGTGGAACAGGGAAACAGCTGCGATCGACCAGATGCAGATAGAGGTGAGTGATAGTAGAATTCTAGATAACTTAACACATTGAGCGCCGGCCCTGCGATAGCTACTGCACACTATACGCTAAGAAAACATTACGCGAGAGTCCATTCTCGCGATCCACAAGATTAGATTCTCTTCGTTTAATCATTTTCTTTTAATATACATTTTCTATATTCGTTTAACAATATAATGAATCCTACATTCGATATACAGACCGCATCAAACCTCGCAGCTAGTCCAGCCATAGCTAAAACGTTAAAACGAAGCAGTATGCAAGTAACCAAATAACTCCCCCGACTTAACACATTAGTCTATCGTTTAACTGCTAATCCTACGTTCATGTAACATGTTAGATATGTATAACACACATCCAGAGTAAAATTTACAAAATCGAATTCCTTATTCTCTTCCGTAAGTTAGAAATTCTGATTTAATCGATGTTTAAGAATGTATCAATATAACAGTTTTGTTTCGATGAAATGTTTGAAATTGAGAAATTAAAAATTGGAAGTTTCCAATTGAGAAACTCGCTAAATTAAAAATTTCAAACTTTGAAACATCAGACTTGAGAATTACAAATCAGAGGTTTCAAAATGAAGAAACATCAAAGTTGAAAATCCCAAATTGCGAACACGATGACAGAAAATTTCAAACCGAAAAATTCACAGTCGCAAACTTCTAACGGAGAAACACAAAATTCAAACTTTCAAACTTAGAAACGTCGGACTTAAGAATTACAATTCAAAGATTTCAAAATGAAGAAACATCAAAATGGGAAATCCCAACTTGCGAACTCAATAATTGGAAATTTCCAGCGAAGATACTCATAACTGCAAACTTCCGATCGAGAAACTCACAAAATTCAAACGATCAAACTTCGAAACGTCGCGTCTAGAATCCCAAACGCTCGTCGCTCGCCTATTATTTCCCGTGGAAGCAAAACAATACTCGAAAAACCCAAGGCGAGCGTTTCGCGGTGAACACAGAATCGCCGCGATATCGCAAGGCCCGAAAACAACTTTGCCCGGAATGCGCCCCGGGAGTGGCGTTTCCCGCGCCCGTAGGAACCCGGAAGTCGCATCCTGCTAGGGAAACTCGGAAGGAAAGGGATCGATGAAGGAGTCCTCGGCGTTAATCGATTTACAGGAGCCGCGCCGGGAGCATTTCCCGCCGCGGTAACGATGATTTGCTTTTGCCCGGTACACTCGCGCGACCGGCATAAAGAAAAATATAGTCGGTAGATATCGCGGATCCGCGAGCGAGCGCAGCCAGCCCGCAGCTATTCCGCGCGTAGCGGAATTTAACGGCGGAACCTCTTTCCCCCGACGCTTCGGTGATACCGTGAGAAATAAAGGGAACGAGGGGGCAGGCACAGGGAGGGAAAGCCGGGACCGATAAGCAGGAATTGCGAACAGATGTCTTCTTAAACTGTCTCGCTCCAGTTGCTTCTACCTCGAGTAGCACGGTTAGGATCGATTACGAATGCTCGGACCACGTAGTGTTGAACACTAGGTTTACGGAACGCGTCGTATTGACCAATATTGGATTTTACAAATATTATTTACTATTATGTAGTATTATTTACTACTAATGAAATATTATTTTGTAAATGTTTACGCCGATTTTGATTGATGCGATCATATGTACCCCAATTACCTACTATCGAATTTCCAGTTACCACGATCTAAATAAACGAGCATCAATGCTTTTAGGAATAATAGAATGAAGTACAGTAAATACCCGTAAACCTAGTGTTGACACGTTGAATGCTATGGGGGTCACCGGTGACCCCCGACCAAATCTAATTACTATAGTTCACTCAATTAAACCATTTTTATTTGAAAATTTTTATATATTATAAATAATGCTAACTAATGTGGTGACGTTCAGCTAGATGAACCTGCAATAATAACAATGCAATTCAATCAAATTATTTAATATTATATTTTTTCTATTTCAAGTATTTTGTACCGTGAAATCGTGCGGCATTCGACGTGTTAAATCATTTGTTCGCAAGTTAGTCTTCCAAATTTGAATATTTCATTTTATCGAAATGAAGAGTTAAGGGTTATGAAGGGTTAACCTTTCGTTTTCCATTTCGTGCATTTTGTTCTATGAAATCGTGCGGCGTTCAACGCGTTAAACCATCTTCGCTCACTGCAAATACTAATATTTATCAAAGCTGATTGTCTAAAGAACGAAGTGTGCTCTCCACCATTCCATATCCCCGAAATTTCTACACAAAGAGCATCTACGTTTGTCATCCGAGATATTCCGGTGTGTACTCGGTCGCCAAAGGTTCCTCGGAGACGGTTTCCCCTCGCGAAAGTCGATTGAAAGCGACGCGACCCCGGAGCAACAATCGAGAACCGAACCGTGCCCGAAGAGACTGGCTCTGTATCCTCGTTAAATTTTCAGTTCAAATGCTGCGGAGCCCTGAGATTCGAGGATTGGCTGGTGAGCGAGTGGCACAAGGACGAGGACGTCCTTAAGGACTTCAGCCTCGTCCCGGACAGCTGCTGCAAGACCCCGACGCATCTCTGCGGGAGGAGGGATCACCCGTCGAACATCCATTACACGGTATTTATCGATCGCGTCCCCGTCGTTGGCCTCGATGGGGG